TTTGTTTGATTAGAGATTATAAAAATAGCTGGTAAAATTAAAAACTGGCACATTTTAGACTTGAAATTACACATAACCAAATTATAGCCTAGAGATAATGTCTAAAATCTAGGGTTAAAGGTAAAATTGTACATTTTGTTTGTAACACTATATTTCCAAAATATTAACATACTTTGTAAGTTTTTTCTTTATATGCTTCCCATGGCTCTTGATTTTTCTTTGGATGCCAAGTCACTTCTGGGCTTTTCATTGCCAGTCGGGTCAAGTAGAAACCAGCACCCGCCATACCAATACCCAGACAAAGAAACAATGGGATTAACTATGAAAAATAAATAAGATTTAAGTGATAATTAATAAACTTGGTATTTGACCTTCGTAATAGACTACACAGAACATTGAATTATTAGATGTAAATATCATAATACTCAACTTAATAAATTAGTTTAGGTACTTACGGACTTGTGTTTTTTCAAGCTCTCTAAAGTCATTCCTGGCATAACCATTTTGAATTTTTTTGGTAATACCTTTAAATTATAAAATTATTACTAATCTCACGAAGCTAAGAACAAACGCTGATACCAAAATGTAAAAACTGAAAATGAGAGAAAAAAAATTTTACGTATCGCCTATAAAGCCTTGGCATTGGCGCATAGCACAGAAAATCAAGCAGTGCCTAGTAGGGTTAGATAACAGATGACACTGCAGTGTAGCCAAATGTACCACACTTACATTATTGTTATATAATTGATAATATTATTATCACAGAATAGATGAAATTTCATCATGATAGATCATGATGGTTCTACGCATAGTCCTATTAACTTAAGTTTAGTCACGGTTTAAGATAGTCTATCTTAAACCGTGAGTTTAGTTAATAGGTCTATGGTTCTAGTGTTCTACGCCAAGGTGTATTGATAAGGTGTCATCACTCTGGACCACGATTAAAGATATATACAATTAATATATATTATATATAATATATTTAGAAAATAAGCACTGATCTACGATGACCATATAAATCTATCAACCATTTAGCGTATAGATATGTTTTTATCCCCAGGATTTCGGTTAATATATCATAATATATAGGTAATAGCATTGATTTTATAATATACTATATACTATAAATACAAATACTATGAATATATTATAAAATCAACGGTGATAAGTACAACTGGGTAATAAATGCTTATAAAAAGGTATTCAAAATATATGCATTTTGGTAACACATAGGTGCGGGATAATATGGGATAATTTTAAACCGGTTTAGTCTAGCGAATTTCTATATTATGTATGATAATTTAGTGAATTAACTCTTACATTTTTCATATATTTTTTTTGTAATAGGAAATTTAAAAATGACAATATTAAATAATATTAATAATTGTATTTGATAAAAAGAAAGTATTTAAATACATGCATACAAATAATTTAGAGCATAGAAGTCATTATGCAATGAAAAATTTTGAATTTTATTTCTTAAATCATAATATCTTTTCAATTTTCTATGGCTTGGGTGTACAAAAGTGTTCGTTTGTCGGCCTATTTAGGACATATAGCGCTCCCGGCGGCGATGACTATCTGTAGTAAAATGTTCAATCAAGTTTTCAAACAAATGACGACACCTTATTCCACGTATAACTTTACTGTATAAGCAGTATAAGTACTATTGACTTCAATATTATAATAGAAATTCGCTAGACTAAACAGGTGTAAAAAATAATGCACCGGGATGTTTGGAGTGTTTGGACCATTTACATGGTTCATTATCCCGGTGCGGGATAGTGTGGGATAATTTTAAACCGGTTTAGTCTAGCGAATTTCTAAATAGTTAATAGTTAATTTTAATATTCTTATTTTCCTTATTTACCATGGCTGATCGCTGTTGGCTAAATGTATTACTAGTTAGAAGTTACTCAGTCCTTCTTCGTCCTCCAGGCTCCGGTTCAAAATAATATATGGGGCATTGAGCCATTGGGGTTTGCTAGTGGTCAGTGGCGTACACAGCTATTTTCAATGGGGGGGGCTTACATATAAAAAAATTATATATATATATATATATATGTATCTAATATATAAAATTCTCGTGTCACAGTTTTCGTTGCCATACTCCTCCGAAATGGCTTGACAGATTTTGATGAAATTTTTTGTGCATATTCAGTAGGTATGAGAATCGGCTAACATCTATTTTTCATACCCCTAAGTGATAAGGGTTGTCCAGAAAAAAATAAAAGAAGTGCTCAAACAGGGATTTTGATAATTTTCGGTAGAAATAATTGTTTATAAATGGTTGCTAAGGTATTGGTTATATATATAAAAAAAAAAATAATAGATACAACATCTTTTATATTTAAAAAGAAAAGAAAAGAAAAGAATTTCTTTTTATCATTATTATTATTTATATAACCATGGCAACCATTTACAAACAACAATTTCCATCTGAAATCTCAAAATTCCCGTTTGATTCCCGGGATTGGTCCTCTCCCTTTTTAAATTAGCCTATGTTTTAAGTTGGATCAAAATACACACAGTTTAACAATTTCATCAAGATCGGAACAGTTGTTTTTACGAATATTGAATAACGAATTGAACAAAGTTTGAGACATATTGAGTTGATACATTTAACGGGCGACGAAGTGCACGGGATCAGCTAGTATATATATACTAGGGGCTTACATATAAAAAAATTATATATATATATATATATATATATAATACATTGATGAATCAAAACGATGTACCTATAGTAATTATTTTGTACATAATGAGTAATCGGCTCATTAGCAATGACTTAAGGTGAAATTAAAAATATTTTTACAATTCTCGATTATTATTTAAAAAATATATACCTTTTACCTACAGGTAATTATTTAGTATAATTACAAAGTTACACGCGTACATACAATATAAAAGATAGGTATAAAGAGAAATTTATTTTTACCATATTAATCATTTTTTTGTACCTAGGTCCTAGGTTGATAATATAATGTATTAAATATTTACCTGGTTCCTCCGAGTTAATTGTATCATAAATTAGTGAGTTAGAAAAATATTCGTTTATTCTTTTCATTTGTATTGTTTTATAAAATATTTAAACAGTAAGGACAATTTACTAAACGTCCAAAGCGTCAGAAATTTGATTGAAAACTGAGAAATAGATTCTATACTATAGTATTAGCGATACTGAGATAGCTATTAAGGCATATTATATCGGATTACACGATTGTCGACCCTCATGTTTGTGTTTGAACAAATTTCCCAATAATTTCATTAATTTGTAACAAGTTATCAATAATATCTACAATATATTATAACAACAAACTGGGTTGCTTATAAGTTATAATATAATGGAGTATAATTTGGAATATAATATTTTTTTAAATTGTCATCATTTTTACTATACATTTTTACGTTATTACGTAAACTGAAAAAATACTAAAGGGGGGGGTTTGAACACCCAAAACCCCCCCCGTGTGTACGCCACTGCTAGTGGTCAGTGGGCACATATGCTGGGCAGCCTTGTCTCACTCCTATAGCTTCATATTCCTAAGTCCATATAAGGCTCTGTCATCCAGGCCCCACAATCCACATCTCCTTTCCACACACAGTCATGCCATATATTTTTGTGAATTTGTACCATTTTCTATTCTGTAAATCTATCTCTTCAGCCTTTTTAGAACTTCTCTTTTTCTTAATAAAATCTAAATTTTAATCATAACCGGATCTTTTGGTGACAATCATGCCTGATGCAGGATGCTTCCCTCCATACTAAATCATCCTCCATCGTTTCATTATTGGGAAAGAACTCGTTTATTTCGTGTGAACTAGACATCTACACTTGAACTCATTCAATTTTCAAGAAAGAACTTGAACGTAGACTAAGTTCTTAATTTTTAAGAAAGTACACATTTTTGGTTCGTTTGTTGATAAGTTCACTTGCATAGACCATAGTTAGGTTTATCACTAATACTATAAGTTCACTTGCATAGACCATAGTTAGGTTTATCACTAATACTATAATTACACATTGTATAAGAGAATTTGAATTTCATACCTTAATTAATTAGGTACAGAAATAAAAAATTTTTAAATGTCTACGGCTATTTAAATAGGTATCTTCATTAATTTACAGGGCTGTTTTGTAATTTGTTTAATCCAAGTGAATATTGTAATTTTTTTTTTAACTTTTTTTTTCTGTTCAAAACGATGTATTAAACAAAACAAATTGTTTGAGTTTGAAACGATTTTAAATATACTGTTTAAAACATTGTTTTGAACAGAAAAAAGTGATAGTGGTATAGTTGTGTTTACTACCATTTGCATATGGAGATTGGAATGGGTAGTATGGTTTGTGACATATTGGAGTTTGTAATTACTAATTAGACCAAGGGTATTGACCTAGAATGTTTAAATTTTATTTTAATTGATAGTTTGACTAAATTATGGGATGTTATTTGTTAAGATTTCAACTTTGCTTCAAACCATTTATCTTCAGTTAGAGTTCTTTTATTTTTTTTAACTTTTCCAATTTTTTTGTCAGAGCTTGAAGGTGCAACATTTATAAATGTCCAGGTGTTCATTATTATCCCAGGTACAATAAGTAGGCCGTAGGCGTGAAGACTTAATGCGTTTCTGGGCATTTTAATAAAGAATAAAATTCTAAAAATTCTTAGTATTTTAAGAACACAACTTTTAATTTACATATTGTTTATACTTGGAAAATAAGAAAAGTACACACTTTCTTTCCAAAAATGTTGTATAACATCAAAGATAATATTTTATTTCAGTACATTATCATACAAATTAAATATGTTCAAAATAAGTTAAGTTAAAAAATATAAGTAAATTAGGAGGCAATGTTTAACAGGTTATTTTTAAATAATGCAATTAAATAAAACAAGCATCTGTTTTTTTATATAAGGTTTGTAAATTGATACATGTCTGTAAGATTAACATGACACATATTAAATATAATATAACTTATTATTTATCAAGGTAAATTACTTCATCAAAATACTAGAAGATCTAGAAAAAACCGAAGAAACTGAGCCAGAACTGTAGTTAATAGATTTGTCCATTTCATCTGTCTGGTTACTCTTTAATTCTTGAAGTGTGTTAGAAAGTTTGGACCAATCATCATGTCTTGGTTGAGTCATTTGCTACATTAAAAAATTAAAACACAAATTATTACAATAATTTTACAAATGGGAAAATATTCATTATAGAATTGTTTTAAAATAACTAAACCGAAGTTGGATTATTATCTTATTTCTCATATATTATAATATATGAGGTTAGCCCAACACAGGGACAAGAATTTAACTATAATAATTGTTTGGTATAATAAGTTTTTTATTTATTATACTGTTGGTGTTTTCTTTCTCAAACTATACATGGCTGTGGCATGCTCCTATAATTCCAAGTTCCAAGTTAATTTTTTCTCATAGTTTAATGATATTACACACAATTACCTATACATATTATAATTCTAATTCTAACAACTTCTAATAATGCTGTATTCTTGTACTATAAATCCAAACCATGAATATAAACCCTATCACAATACATCATTATACATATTTAATTTTAATACAAACCTCTCCAACTTGAAATACGGATATTTTTCCATATTCATCCCCAACACTTAAATGAGTTCCATTCTGAGACCACATAAGACTCTTTAATAATGGAGAGTTGTCAAGAACTGTACTTGCTGTAGGTGATTCTGTATTGTTATTAAGGTTCCATAAATCTAAACGGCCAGTAACATCAATTGCAGCAAACACAGCTGGGTGTACAGGAGACCAAGCGACGCTGCTTACATAATCGTTGTTGTTTTCAAATGAGTGAATTGGTTTGGATTCCTTTATAAATATTTTAATAATTTTTAAAACATAAAAATATATAAATAAAAATAAAATAATATTTAACCTTAATATTCCATAATTTAATTGTCCAATCTATTGAACTTGTCAAGAATAAGTGGCTAAAATCAGTGTTTCCGACAGCACAGTGGGTATCAATGGCTGTAATCGGTGCTATATGACTTTCATAACTCTCAACTACACCGGCTTTTTTTGTATGTCTACAAGCTAAAAATAATTTTGAGTTATACAATAAATAATTTGTAAAAATTAAATGGTTTATTGCAACCAACCAGAATATGCAGCTCCTTCTTGACTACCAAACACAAATTTGTTAACATCATCATGCAAAAAGGCAAAAGTAGATACGGACACAGATTTAGATTGCTTTGCAGTTAAATCAAGGCGTTCAACCGGTTGAGTTAACATGTCTAAACTCCAGCAACACAATCGCCCATCAGTTGAAATACTGATGAGATTATGTGCATTTTGTGTACCCACAACTTGGATGCAGTACACAGGGTGCTAAAACAAAAATGATAAAAACAATATAAGACAATGTCGGCGTACTATATGTTTTTTCAATCTCTTACCCATGAGCAACATAGCTAATTTGTATTAATTATACTATTATCAACGAGATAACAATTTAACAATTTTTCTGTGATGTATTAGAATTTAAATTTTAATATTTTATATATTCATAACTTGCATGATAATAATTGAAGTATTTTGAAAAAAAAATCCAACAGATAAAGTTCTCAACTTTAAGTTTGATAATAGATCAATTCATTCTTACATTAAAACTAACAATAAAAGATTAGATCATCAAAATTTGCTGTTGCGCTTGAGTTAGAAAAGAAAAAAGTAGAGCACTAACATTCTTTTAATCCTTCAATGGTTACTTGGTAAGAATTCCCTCAATAGTTTTTATATTATATTATAAACCACCAAGCAGATTTATTATGCAATTAGTGTTAGTTACGATCACTTATAAAATTCATATACATATTTGAATATTTCTCTCGTAATTCACATATACATTAAAAATCGAATTATTGAGCATTAAAATATTTTATTATTATTTGTTGAGTAAAAAAATTTCTATCACTATGTAAGTACGGATCACAATAGACAAATAATGAAATTTTAAGTACAATTTTTTTTCTAGACTAAGTTATTAATAAGGTAAATGGATGCTAAGACCTAATAAAATAAGCAGTGGTAACTTAAATAATACCAAGGTGAGAAAACATCTCACTAAGGGACCAATGAGGGGTTAAGGATTACTTTTAAATAATATAAATAATTATTATTATAAATTAAAACATACAGTATGAGCAGTATTTGATAATGGTGTTCTCTGAATAGGAGTTTTCTTCTGAGCTCGATTATCCCACAAAACTATTTGTCCAGAATAAGTGCTTCCCAAAATTAAATTTGGATGAAACCTATATAAAACACAATGGTATAATTAATATCAACACTAATTTTTCAATTAAACAATATATTACCTGGCAAATGTGGCTGAAAGTACTCTTGACTGACAATGAAATACATATTCAGGAGAATTCTTTTTAAACTTAGTATTCCATACAAGAACTACACCATCAGGTTCATGTGGTGCATCAGAAATATTATACGATGCTACAGTGAGTTCAGGAAATTGTTGAGACCAATCTAAAGATGTAACTAAACGATTTTTAGACCAATGTTCATCGTAAAACACACGTGTCAATGATAATCTGGTACTACTCTTGTCTTCACTAAAAATATAAAACATAAACAATTTTACAATGTTTTATATTTTTTTTAATTTAGTTTGTACTAACTTAACATCATTGTCATCTAATGCACCAGTATAATCTGTATAAATATCTACATTTTCAGATAAAGCCCGTTCCATCACACGTCCTGCTCGGTCCATAAATTGTTGAAAATCTTCTGAATGAACAATCATCATTTTTTCTGCATCACTTAATTCTCTAACTAAATAATAATAAAAAAAAATGTATTTCATACACATCATAAAAAGTATTATTAAATAGCTAATTAGTTATTTTACCTTTTTTAGGTTCTTCTTTAACAATTAATTCTCTTTCCAGTGAAGTGACAGCTGGTGCAACTTCCTTCACTTGTGGAAGTCCTTGAGATAGAATACCTGGTGGCAGCTTGCTTTGGAAAGTGGACAAATTTGTAAGGCTGATATCTTCATCTTCCGCTTGACCAGAACCATCATCATACGTAAGAACTGTCTGTTAATTACTTAGGAATGGCTAGCAATAGATGCTTGCTGTATACTTATTTAATATGCATCCAAAATAATTTATATTTGGTTAGATTGTGTTAAAAATGTATTTCCACCAATGTTTAAAATTAAATTAAATAAAAAAAAAAATTCAAAGCAAATATTTAAAACATTAGGTTAACATTTATAATATGAAATGAGGCATTGTGATAACATTGATAACGTATAAGAAAATAAGATTCAGAAAATAAAATTAAAATAACTGATTAAGTTTTAAAAGCACGGCAAAAGCTAGTATCTAAAGCCGTGATTAAAAAATTTAAATAAATATTTAGAGTGTACAACATAAAAGCAAATAAAATAAAACCGTGTCAAAACCCAGTTTACATTTAGAATTGTTAGAAAAACAGTTAAGTTTTCTGAATCATATCAGGCAATACACAAATATCATATGTACTTGTCTATTGAATAAATTACAATACATAACATAAAATTAACGCAACCTCCATCAACAAAATAAATTAATTTCCAAATTTAAATCATATGGAATAAAAGTACAAATTATAAACTAAAAAAAATATTTTTAATGTACCTAATTAAATTACAAATTCAAAAAATGCTGAATAGCATTTGCTGATGTACCTACCTGTAAATTCGTCTTCCCACTCCAAGCCAGGATTTAAGTTGTATTCGTCTTGAAAAAAGAACAAAAACAAGCAAAACGACATAAACACCACCGTGAAGTAGTTAATTGCAAGAGGCATCAATTTTGCACTTTTTGTATATATATAACTTAAAGTAAATGTATTTCTATAAAAGTCAAAAGCAGGGAAATATATGTATCATGGGAAACAAAAAACTAATGTATATTTTTGGTTATAATAGTATACAGATAAATATCAAATTAAATAAATCCCAGTAAAATGTAAATGTTTCCCTGCTTAACCTTTTACATTAACCCTATAGACTAATACTATTGCATACAAATTAATAATAATAATAATAATAATAATAATAATAATAATATTATATTATGTATATCAGTTTTGTATTTAAATATAATTATCAATATATTTTAAATGATAATACATAATATAAATAATGCATTATTCAAAATTATCCATCAGTTGTATTGATAAAACTAATACAATACCAAGAAAACTAAATTATAAACCAAAATTTCAGAAAATTCAGGAGGTTTAATTGAAATTAGTATTAATTATTAGAAATTATTATTTAAGAAAACCAAAAGCATCTCTACATACTATTTACAAAAAACTATAAATTACAATAAAGTGCAGTAAATGTACAATATAATATAAAAATTAATGTTTAAAAATTAAAACAATAAATATGTTGTTCTTTATTCTTTACGAATAAGTGAAATGGATTTATAATAAAGAAAAAGAAATTATAAGAAACAAGTACTCCAAAATGAACATTTCTTAAATTTTCAGTAAAATACTAGGAAGGTAAGCAATGAGCACATGTATAAGAATTAAAACTAAAAGTTACTGAACAAGATTCTATCACGATTATATAATATCATATCCATTAAATATATAATTGATATACACGTAAAACAGTATACAATTATTAAATGATTAATAAAAGTTAAATATTAAAATGTATTACAGAAATATAGAAACTTAAGAACTAATTTGAGGTGAAAAATACTCTTCATACATGCTAAAATTCCAATAAATGGACCATTATGAATTTGACGCCACTTAACCAAAACTTAACCAAATAACCATCAAAATCTTGACGAGCCATTTTGGGTAGTTAAAATGTGGGCAGCCTAATTGTGTTTTTTTGGAAAATCATAGGTAGTTTGGTAATTGTGGTAAATGAAAAGTAATGATTTAATAAATCTGATTATTCCCTCAATAGTCTTTAAAAACATATTAGTTTTTAATATTCAAAGAACATTTTGATTTGAATTATAATAGTGAATATTCATAATATATTTATTCTGTTTATAATTTAATTCAGTAGTTAATAAAAAAGATGATCAATCAACTTGTAATAATAATTTTAGATTCTAAACAAATACAAACTGTATTGGTTTTACTGGTACTTTTTTTTTCTTAATATTTAATGTTATACGCAAATGATATTCAATACTATGTTGAGTAAATAAAAAAATATTTAAAATTTTTTAAAAAAATATATTCATTGACTATTTGACTGTATAACAGACAAAAAACTTTTAATTCTAAATATAGATACTTTGTAGAATATTAAACAAATTTAGCAAAAAACTATTTTAGTGTAAATTTTAGGTTTTCAACTAAAAATTTATTTTAAGAACCGCAATAGGAAAACAACAAAAGTAAGGTATTATAATTCTGATTTATTTACATTTTATTTTTGAAACATCTATTTTAAATATAAATAAAGAAGAAATCTACTGTAGTAATATAATAATTATATTTTCTTTATTAATAATTACACAAGCTATAATTGTTTATAATCTGAAGAGGAAAATTATTTTCAACATATAATTAAGAGGATGCTACAACCACATGCATTGTCTCTGTCTCACAAACCCATACCATGCTAAATTATATTTTCTGAATAATCCATTTAACTCTGTTATGTATAATATTAGAGTGAATAAAATAATATTCCGTTTAATTAGGTTTATTATGCTGATAATAATTACTTTAATATATTTTAAATTAAGAATATTATTTAGTGAATCTCATTGTTTTTTCTTATATTTTAATTTCAATACAAGTTATTAGCATTTTAAAAAGTATATTTAATTTACAATTTTTTTATTCCTCAAACTTCCATTAAAATTAAAAAAGAAAGAAAAAACTATGAAAAAATCTAGATTCACTAGATAATAGATAACAAATATTCTTACTTTTAAATTTGTGAATAGGTCAATTCACTCTAATATTAAACATAACAGAGTTAAATGGATTATTCAGAATGAGTGGCGTATATACAAATTACTTTCACTATGGGCCAATTTATCACAAGTCAAGCATAGCACGACTAACATAGCCATAACTATACATTTTTTAGGGAGCTGGGTGATTATTATTATGACATATTATACAATACAAATAAAAATTGTGCAATTTAATTTTATTATCTTCATGTAAAATTAATTTTTTAATTCTTTTATAAAAAAATATTGACAATTTCATATATTTATAAATATTTTAATGTTATCTTACTATGATTTTAACGTCAGTCATCAAAGCAAGTCCTAACAATCTAACATTTCCTTGTTGAGTCTTCAAAAACGATTTTAATCAACCGGCTAAATTAATCACGGTGAAAAATTATAAACAGTGTAGATATACAAGCTTTTTTATAAAGCCTTCCCCCTATATACGCCACTGTTCAGAATGTACAATTTGCCGATTTGCTTGTGTATGACACAACACATGATGGTGTAGCATCCTCTTAAATAGTAAATAATGAACCAATATTTAAATTGACTGTTCAGTAGGTAGTTGTATTACAAAAAATATACAGCGTAAACCACTTCCAAGCATTTTTTAATAGATAAGAAAACTAGTTCTAAATTCTAATATAAAATTGTATACTCTATTAGTCTATTGCAAAAAAAAAAATGTATAAACAATGTAACTAACTAAAACACAAATTTTAATTGCAAAGTATAATATTTCAAGTATTTAAGAAGCAAAAAAAAATCAGTGCACGTAAAAAAAATAAAAAAAATAATAAAGACTAGTGCATTAGTGCAATAGTAATAAAAATGAAGTAATAAATTGATCATTGTTAGTAGATAGTTGTTTAAGTATAAAGTCTTCAATTTAACATCAAATTAAAATCCATGAATAACCAAATAAACCAAATGAACATATTACCAAATTATATGGACCACCTACATTGGATGGTTGCGTTAATTAATTATTAATATATGAAGAAAGTTTTACTGTCCCACTATCATTATTATAATTATTATTGTTAGATGTAATTTAATATTATTAAAAGTAAAGTCTTATTAACTACCATTACTCTGTATATCAAATATGTCATTTTATCCAATTGAATTATTATTATTATAATTATTTTGAAATTTAATATATTTTGCCAACATAATTATTAATGTAGTCAATTTTATTACGTCTATGAACTACAGTAAGTTAACTACAACATTTTAAAACATATACCATGCATCTATTTTTGAAAATTATATTTCTATAGGGTCTAATTGTTAACATTATTCCTATACTCATATTAAATAATAGCTTACCGTAATATCCAAATGCTTGAGCTGTTGATGAAAATGTTCCATGATTTCCGATATTGTCCCCATCAAATGGAAAAAAAAAAAAAATAATACATAAATATAAGTATAAAATTGAGTAAATAAAGCATCCAAGTGATATACACAAAAACTGTCAGTACTTTTTTATAGATAATGTTTTCATTTAACTATGCATGATAAATAGCTAGGTACTTTTAATTTGATTAATATATTTTTTGATATTTTTGTTAATATGTTTTATAATCAAGTTATATGTAAGGTTATTAAACATTCATTTTAACAATACTTTTATCCGGGTATACCACCTGGATTAAACATACAAGTGGTTTTAAAATGTTACTGGACATTTGTGAATCTAACCTTTTCTAGGCCTCCACCAATCTTCAAAATAACCTTTAAGAGGGGAAGAAGTGCAGGATCCTTTAATTTATTTTACCATAAACAAGTGCAGCATAACAATAATAAATACAACAAGTGACAATGGTTGTATAAAGTATAAATCATTAAGTAACATTACTTAAAGAAAATTAAACCTAAATTATCATGCACATATTTCTTAGTTTTAAGCTTATACTTAATTTAAAATTAAAATATATCAAATATTAAGCATACCGTCTCTTTCATTTGATGAATGTGTAGTCTGAACAGCTTTAGTGTAGCATTCTACCTCTTTTGGTGGAATATTTGTAGAAGAAAGAGAAACAATTGATAACTCACGAATTTTCTTTGTAGGCTTTGGACTGAAAATTAAAATATCATTAAAAAGACTTCCAATTGAAATAAAGTTATGAACCCACTAAGTATGAATGTAAGATAGTTTTAACTATATTATAAATTGTTGGTGCTACAGGATTGTGTATTTTTGCCTTTTTATCTGAAAAACTGGTGCACAATTCTGTTGTGTTTTTCAGGTAAAGTATGAAATTGTGCTGCCAATAAATTGTAGATTTTGTAATAAGTTAAAACTCTAATGAACTAAAATATTTTATGTTTACTCTTATTATTTATCAAAAGCCACTGAATAATAATAATTTAAGATAGTTTCTTGTTATAAGCTTAATGCGTATAAGTGCCCATAGGTGTGCGCAAGGGGCAGATGCAGCATATTAGGCTGCCCCTGAACTCTTTTTTGGGTAGCCACAGCAGCCAAATATTGAATTATGGGCCATAAATTGATATTTATGCAAATTATCTACAATGTACATTATAATTTATAATTATAAACAATTTCTATATATTGTTTAGAAAATATGTGGAAACATTTATACAGCCAACCTCTCATCAAAATGTTTATTTTGATGGGGTTTCTCCCCTCCCCTTTCTCAAAATAATTAACAAAGAAATCCTACTTTCCACCAAATTAAAAAAAAATCAATTCTTAATTTTTTTTTCTACACTATTAGTGTAAATTTGTGTGACCTATTTCAAAAACGTACACCAAAAGCTCTATTTTTAAAATATACTTTTGGAAAATGGGCCAGATTAATCTCAAGCTGCCCCTGAAGCCAGAGTCTGTGCAAAACTATATAAGTGACTGAAAAATTATATTTCAAATAGTAAGTTTTTATATTTTAAATTTAAATTGAAGGGCCACACATACACAAACTAGTACTGCACCATTAAAAATTTGTCTATTCAATATTATCTTATTGGCAAATTTAAATTAAAAGGCCAAATGTTTGCTGTCGTCCCAAATGGGTATCAGCAGAAATTAACTTTATCACAGCACTGATTTCAATCAAACGTTGATGTGTATAAATATATCTTATAAAAATTAATATTTTGTTTTAATCAATTTTACCCAGTTGCTGGAGTTTGAGGTAGTGATCCTTTTGCACTAGAATCAGGAGTTGACATTGAACTATATAATAATTCACTTTTATTAGGCGAAGTGGTCAAACTTGATAATACATCTAAATTAATTAAAAAATGAATAATTTTATAATAACTAGTTAAATATTTTCAACAACTTATACCTGAAACTGGTGCAACTCCGAGAGATGATAACATTTCATCAATTTCTTTACCTTGATCTTTCTCAACACTAATACCACGAGAAACTGCTTCATCTCCCTATTTAATATATTAATTAGTGGTGATAAAAATGTATACCAATATGGCAATATGAAATATCAAAATATTAATTTAGTTATAGGATAACTAACATGACAAATATTTCAATACAATTGTACTTTTTAATATTACCTACTATTATTATTATTATTATTATTATTGAGTTTAAAAGTATTTTTGATGTGGCAACAACAAAATATTCAGAATCAATCAGACATTAAAAATACAACATTATGGATATATCAAGAAGGTAATATTATGCAAGAAATCATTTGAAACAACAATGTTAATGATGAAATTTAAAATTTAAAAAAAAAAATAATAGGTACTCTTGGATGTTTTTTTTTTTTAATTTATGTACTACTTTTAACAGAAGATATTATGAGTTATATGTCGTTAAAAATGTTACATACATCTTTTTTCTCTTTTTCTTTGCGCAGTCTTTCTTTTTGTTCTCTGATGGCTTGTAGTTTAGCTTTCTTTTTCTCTAATTCTGCTTTGCGGTCAGACATATTGTATCTGCAAAAATAAATGAAGATAGGTATGTATGCTAAACCATGATAAACATTATGTTTTGACTTTTTGAGGGCATCGAACTATGAACATCTGCTTATACAATGTATTTGCTTACTTTTAAGTAGGTAATAAAATTATAAACTACAATTAATTTAGCAATGCCTATAGAATAACAAAAAAGTAAGTTACTATGAAATAATTTAAGCACTTGGCATTTATTGTTATCTATAAGTAGATTTAAAAAAGTGTTACTTAAAATGTACGTACAACATCAAAAACAACCTAAAAATGAAAATGTCTAATGTTGACGTTTCAGCTCATGTTCCATATCCGGCATATCCTACGATTATGATTTTGTATTTTGTGACTTGTGTTAACAAATTTAGCAAACCATAAATTACAATAATTTTTACAATTCATGTTGTTATCACTCAATATATTAACCAATCAAAATGAATAAACAAAAATACTATCATAAAGAATTTCTATTGGTTTCTTAATTATGTGATAAAATTCATCAATGCCTCCTTTTTTTGAAATAAAAATTATTTAAGACAATATTTAAGTTATTAACTCAATAAATTATAAAATATGTAATAAACTATAAACATTAATATTTAAATACAAATTTCCAAATTTTATGCAACACAAAAATAAAATGTCAAGTCACTATAATATAAACTATATAATAACAATTAACATGTGACTCGACGCAGCTTAGTGGCTGAAATCAATTACGCTACGCGATTGAGAGCAAGCAACGGCCGCTGCCACTAGTTCTCAGATGGGTGACCACCTGGGTTCGTAGTGTGTAAAAACCTTGCTACCCATACACGTGTTCCTAACCGACCGTACCAACCCTACTGTATCAAGTACCAATCCTATCAACCTACAAGCTAATGACCTCAGTCGTCGAAGCATTAAACCTAATAAAAAAAAAAAAACTATATAATATGACAACGGTCATCGGTTTTAATGTGGATGGCCTCTAGGACGCAGGTGGTATAAATTCGGTGATTTTTATAGTAAAGTAAAACATATAAATATGATAGATCAATTATAATTTATAATATGCGTCCAGTCAAATTAGGAAAAAGATCGGAAAAAATTCGCCCCCAACTGAATTTTGGTACACACTTAAAATGTACCTTCCCAATTGACATACTAAAAGTCCTGACGCCTAACCCCTGTGCGTATCTCTCCACCCCCCAAAAAGGGGTGAAATCTACCCTCCCACTATTTTTCTTATAACTCGTTAACCATTGAACTCACGACAAAAAAGTATAGGACCAAAATTAAAGACCGTAAAATTTACTATAAGAATATAATATTGTAATCACTACAATTTTAACGTGGTAGTTTTAAGTAAACTTTTTTTTAAAAAAAACTGAATTTTTTTTTTAAATTTTTTTTAAAATTTTTTTTCAGCCAAAATTTATAGTTTTAAACCAAAATGACCTATAAGAAAAATGATAGCCCTTTGTTTTTACATAATATACTTTTTTTTATTTTTTTTCATATTCATTACCATAAGATTTAAGGTGGTTGTTATGTACGATGCGGCGGTGTTATATCTGTACGGTTGATAATACGAACCAAGTTCGAACATAATGTAAAAATTCACCGAAAGCTGAATATTGGCATACGCCTACTATATATACTTCATTAATGATCATACTTAAAGTTCTGACGTTTACCCTTCATGCTTACCCTTCTACCCCCCCCCCCCCGCCCACCCCGCCTTCAAAAGGGTGGTTTTACAATGTTTTTACTTATAAATCACTATCCTTGGAACTGACGACCAAAATATATAGAAATAAAATTAAAGACTATTACATTTATTACATTTATAGTTGTGTTTGACGGGTACACAAATAGTGATGTTAACATAAAAAGTTCCGAAAGGCAACGGCGACAACATTTGGTTAAAAGTACTGAGATATTGATCGAAGAGACGATGGACATAACTATTTCGCAAGAATCATTTCTATCAAATGACAAAAATAAGTTGAGGCTGATATCAATGTTGACAGGGAAATTATTGAAGTCAGGTATTTTCGTATTACAAGCAGAAGACGATGCTGACACACTTATTGTACATACGGCAATATAAAAATCAAATTATAACACAAAAGTTGTGGTCATTGGAGAGGACGTAGATTTGATCATACTTTTATTGACGTTAACTCCAGATGATTCGCAGATTATTTTTAAAAAACCAGGCAAAGGAAGTACGGAAACTAGATCATATACTCTATAAAAATTATTTAAAGCACCAGCAAACACTAGTACATTAAATTGTCACAGGTATGATGTATTCCGAAAAACAGTGGCTTCCAGCAAAAAAGAAGTCAAACTTTCTCGACTCCCTCCAACAGTCGATTAAGCAAAGCAGCATTTGTTTAGGGTTTACTTACAAGTACAACTTTGGCGTGGGAAATAATTGTGGTGAATAACACTTTTAAAAACAGGTAGTAAGACACTGTGGTACTTACTTTCTCGTCCAGTACTCGTTATCGTTGTCAGTCGAGAAAGAGTAAGACTTTGTCTAGGTAAAAGATACCTCACCCTCGAACATCCAGTACTCGTTATCGTGGTCAGTTGTTCGGGAGTAAAATAACCTTAGAGTTGTATAGTGTAAATCCTGCTGGACTTTTATTTAATTATCCTATTGCGCAGTACTCGTTATCGTGGTCACCAAAAGGAGAACTTAAATTAAACTCATACAGCAGGTGTCGATAATTTACTCGTTCGACGGTTAGAGAATCGGAAACCGAAATATATCTGTTATATTATACGTCAAGCCTTTGCGTGGCGTATACGACAATACTTAATCCGTTAAACTGGGGCTGGGAAAAAGTAGATAAAAAAATAATACCGATCTTTACAAAGAAACCACCAGCAATAGACTCCCTTGACCCTTCTATCGGTTATAAGTTGTGCTTGCACTAAATCATGCGAGAAAAATTGTGGCTGTAAAAAAGCGGGAATGCGATGTTCCATAATATGTAAAAATTGTCAAGGCACATCGTGTTGAAACCAGCAACTAATTTGTGATGATGATGACGACGACGACGACGTGGAGTTGTATAAAGATGGACAATGGACCACTAGCATAGACGAAGACAACGAATAACCCGATAAAGAAATGGATACCTATATAGACACACGTCATATGCAAAAAGAACGCTGTGCAAAACTGCACCACTTAATTAATTAGGTATGAATTTACTTTAAATTTATATATATAATAGTTGTAAACTATAATACTAAATAGCGTTCAATTTTTTTTTTTTGGTTACAGGCAAAACAAAATTCACCCGGAACCAAATAAAATAAAAATGTTGGTACTTAGTGTAAATAATATGGTATTGTAAATTTTTTTTAATGTTTTCTGTAAAAATTCTAGAATTAAGTAGTACCTACTAGTATAATAATCTAATAAATAATAATATTGTAAATAAACATATTGTAACTGTAAAGACATTTCATAAAAGTTGTATTTATAACTGAACTTATCTTGTATACATTTAAGTATGCAAAATATTATAATATTATAGTAAATGTAATAGTCTTTAATTTTAGTTCTATATATTTTGGTCGTCAGTTCCAAGGATAGTGATTTATAAGTAAAAACATTGTAAAACCACCCTTTTGAAGGCGGGGTGGGCGGGGGGGGGGGGGGGGGGGGGGGGGGGGGGGGGGGGGTAGAAGGGTAAGCATGAAGGGTAAGCGTCAGAACTTTAAGTATGATCATTAATGAAGTATATATAGTAGGTGTATGCCAATATTCAGCTTTCGGTGAATTTTTACATTATGTTCGAACTTGGTTCGTATTATCAACCGTACAGATATAACACCGCCGCATCGTACATAACAACCACCTTAAATCTTATGGTAATGAATATGAAAAAAAATAAAAAAAAGTATATTATGTAAAAACAAAGGGCTATCATTTTTCTTATAGGTCATTTTGGTTTAAAACTATAAATTTTGGCTGAAAAAAAATTTTAAAAAAAATTTAAAAAAAAAATTCAGTTTTTTTTAAAAAAAAGTTTACTTAAAACTACCACGTTAAAATTGTAGTGATTACAATATTATATTCTTATAGTAAATTTTACGGTCTTTAATTTTGGTCCTATACTTTTTTGTCGTGAGTTCAATGGTTAACGAGTTATAAGAAAAATAGTGGGAGGGTAGATTTCACCCCTTTTTGGGGGGTGGAGAGATACGCACAGGGGTTAGGCGTCAGGACTTTTAGTATGTCAATTGGGAAGGTACATTTTAAGTGTGTACCAAAATTCAGTTGGGGGCGAATTTTTTCCGATCTTTGTTGATTTTTGATCTAATTTGACTGGACTATAATATATTATTATGCCGTTTAAATGAATGACGGAAGATGTAAGCCCATTTAGACGCAATTGACATAAGCGTGGCTTCTGAGGAGAGTCGATAGGTGGATATCCATTAAAATGTAAGGGTGGGAACCAACATTTTTAACATCAATGTGAGAGGGGAGGCTTCAATCCCACACAATTATTTATTTATAATTATTTGTAAGGAACAAATGCACTATACCACCCAATACAAAGTTTTCGATTTTTTTTTTCTTTTGAACTTACCTATATTAAATATTTAAGAACAATGGTGCAATCAGAATTGGTCGGTCGAATATTAAGTTCAAAAACATATCTGTTGTGTAAAACCTCCTAGGATGGGCCTCGGATTTCATCAGTATTGTTTTAGATTTTGAGCGGAGCGATGAATGTATTGGTTTTACAATGATGTATGTTTTTATTTTTTTATATTTTTTTTTATATTTTTGTGTCTGTCATCACGTTTTAGGACAGTAAAAGTGCTTGGATTTTCTTCATCAGTAGCTTTTCTGATAGGAAAGTGAATCTAGTTGGTACTTTGGCCTTTGGGGGTCAAAAGTATAAATTTCCCAGTAGTTTTCACAAGCGCCGGGAAAAACAACATAAAAATTAAGGAAAAA